TCTTTTTCTTTTTGTTGTTGTTCAGCTCTTTTGATGGGATCTTCTCTTATTTTCCTGCGTCTTTCTCTTTCCCTTTCCCGTTTTCTTCGTAAAAGCTCTTCTTTGGAAAGTTTAGCCACGATGCTGGAAAAAAATTAACATCAATAATAAAATAACAAGTGGTCGAAATTCCCGTGTCTCACTTGTAATTCCCGTGTGACTAAAAAGACATGGGAATTAGTGACCCGGGAATTACAAAATACGTGTTTTACATTAATTATAAGCTTTAAAATAAAAAATTGAAAAATATTATATTATAAAACAGATTCTAAATAAGTCTAACATTGAATGATGCATAAAAAATTGCAAAATTTGTTATTTTTACCAAAAATAAACTTACCCCGGGAATTACGCTGTTGAATATTACACACGTGGTTGTAGAGCTTTAAACAATAATACATCTACTCTCGTTGCATGCCAATGCTTAACTAATAGGTTAGGAGTCACAGCGGTGATTCACGAGTTTCCAGTTGTCACAATCGTTGAAACTAGAGACAATGTATGATTTTTACAAACAATTTTTGTTTGTAACACGGGAATTACTCATTTTGCCAAGGACAAAATATATAATTTTTTTTGTAGTTGAATTTTGACTTTATGTGGCTTTGAGTTTCAAGATTTTAAATATTAAATTATTCTTTTAATCCAATTACAAACAGAGGTTGTTAAAGTAGAAGGATAAAGAAACTGTGATGAACATATTTTGTGATATGAGTTTCGGGACATGACACGGGAATTACAAATGAACATTCTTTACGCGAAATTATTACTAAAAATTATTTTAATTGTAAAATTATTCGAATGCCCTAATTTAGTGCATATTATGCATTTCAGTAATGATTTTAGTATTATAATTAAATTATTTTTGTTCAATTTCTGATACAAAGACATGGCGAGACTCACTTTTCAAATAATCACCCATTTATATTAGTGTAGAATTCAATTTATTTTTGTAATAGAAGATGTAAAAAGACACAATTATATTAGTTTTTTGTACTGAAAAAAATCACAACCGATACATTCATTTGGTTTGTTTACCCGGTCCACGTAAAATTTTGTTGTTTCCTGGGACCACTAAATACGTCACCATACTTAAAACTAATATAAATCGTGCCCACATATGACCACGGTGACTTGAAGTAAGTAACATCAAATGTCCACGGGTGGGCACGCGGTCTTAAAGGAAACATTGAAAATGCCCACCGGTGGACACATGGTGCTAAATGTGTTAAAAACAATCAACTTCTTTTTTTACCCCCAAATTGCACATCTGTTCTGCAATCGATGATTCAGGGCATCATAAGGTTCCCTAAAGTTCACTACAGAATACTTTTAGTTAAGACGATCCTGTTATTTAATAAAATGCCATATATTTCATCCACAAAGCATGGACACTCGTAGATAAAAAAAAACATCAGAAAATGTTTCGGTCATGTATGGTGGACAGAGACTGAGGTAGAAAACGAAGAAGATGAATATCCTGTAGCAGCGTGGTTGAGGTTACAACAGCAAGGTCAAGAACTAACCCAACTGAATAATGATGACGAGTTTGCTGAATTCATTGCCATGGATGATGACGTCATTGTTTGTGATCTTCCGACGGATAGTGCAATTATCGCGAAAGTAATAAATCTGCCGGCGGAGCGCGTTATCGTCAGTGACGAAGACGAAAATCGCGGTTGATCTACGCAAGAAGGTCCTAATAGACAAGATGTGGAAAGTGCTTTAAACGTTGTAAGAAACTTTATCCCAAGACAAAACGCAAGTGAAGAAGCATACAACTGTTTCACATCTTTAGAAAATATGATACGATAGAATGATACTGGACAATTTAAAGCAGTCAAAAATGACAGACTTCTTCCAATTACAGAAGCAATGGTTTATCATCATCATCATCTTTGGCTCGACAATCCTCTGTGGATCTTGGCCTGCTCTAAGATTCGTCGCCATTCTGTTCGGTTTTTGGCAATATGTTGCCATCTTCTGATTTTTAATATTAGTAAGTCGGTTTCTACTCCATCTAACCACCTAATTCGCGGTCGGCCTTTGCTTCTTTTTCCTACAGGTGTTCCTGTGGTTTGCTTTTTAGCAATGGTATTTTCTGGCATTCGTATTATGTGTCCAGCCCATCTAAGTCGCTGTGTTTTAATGAACGTTATGACATCTGGCTCATCAAAGAGCTGATACAATTCAAAATTATATCTTCTGCGCCACTGCCCTTGGTCGTTTACAGCTCCAAATATTTTGCGGAGTATTTTACGCTCAAATATTCCCAAAAGTCTTTCATCTTTCTGCGTTAGAGTCCATGTTTCTGCTCCATATGTGAGGACCGGCCTCAGCAATGTTTTGTATATAATAATTTTAGTTCTTCTTTGAATGTTTCTTGAGTGGAAATGCTTTTGGGGTCCATAGTATGCCCTATTTGTAAGATTTATTCGTCTTTTGATTTCTTCGCTTGTTTTATTGGTAGCAGTCAATAGCGACCCAAGGTATGTGAAGTTGTCAACACGTCCAAAGGTATGACTTCCAAAGACTGTTTCTCGTTCCTCATTTGTAACTATCATGTACTTGGATATCGGATCCTTTGTAACCAACATGTATTTGGTTTTGTCTTCGTTGATGACTAGACCGACCTGTTTCGCCGCTGTTTCCAATTCTAGGAGATATTGCTCAACATCTCGCTTGCTACGCCCTACTATGTCAATGTCATCAGCATATGCTAAGACTTGTATCGATCTATTGTAAATAGTACCGCTATCCCTAATTCGTGTATCTCGGACTGCCTTTTCTAAGGCAATATTAAATAGGAGGCAAGCCAGAGCATCTCCTTGTCTGAGTCCATCCTTTATCTCAAAGGATCTAGAACTCTCTCCCTGTATTCTAACAGTGGCTTCTAAGTTGGACATTGTCATTCTCGTTACTCGGATAAGTTTCTCTGGTATACAAAACTCATGCATTGATTGGTATAGCACTGTTCTCTTGACACTGTCGTATGCGGCCTTGAAGTCGACGAATAGGTGATGGGTTTCAATATTGAATTCTAATGTTTTCTCGAGAATCTGTCTTATTGAATGAATCTGGTCAATTGTTGATTTTTCTGGAGTGAATCCAACTTGATATTTACCAACTATGCCCACTGTGTAAACTTGCAACCTTTCGTAGAGAATATTTAAATTAAATTAAATTAAATTAAATTAAATTCTTTATTTTCTTTTTGACAAACATAGTTTGTATAGAATTAGTCATAAATATACATTGCTACAAACTAAACACTAAACTAGACTAAACAAGACATGAAATGAATTTAAAAGCTAAATGAAATACAGCTAATATCTAAGATCTAAAAAATTCTTCGATTGTATAAAACACTTTTTCACATAAAAATTGCTTAAGATTCCTCTTAAATACATTTATTGAACTGGTGGACTTTACAACTGTGGGCAAATGATTAAACACCTGTAGCCCGTATACCCTGGGCGATTTAAATTTAATGTTACCTTTTGAAAATGGTATATAAAGTTTATTACAATATCTAGTATTTAAATTATGCATATCACCACTCGTTTTAAACTGATGTAAGTTATTAAAAATAAAAACATTTAATTCAAAAATGTATAGACACGGCAATGTTAAAATTTTATATTTTTTAAAATATTCTCTACAACTAGTTAGTCGGGAGACACCAGCGACACGACGCAATATTTTCTTTTGTATGACGAAAATACCATTTGCATAACCAGACATACCCCAAAAACATATCCCGTATCATAGCCTGGACTCTACGAGTGCATAATAAATCATAATTAGCTGATTTTCCGTCAGAACATATTTTAAATTTCTAATTAGATAGTTGATAGAACTCAACTTCGAAACAACCGCTCCACAATGCAACTTCCAATCCAAACTTTCGTCAATCGTTATTCCCAAAAACTTGCCTGACGACACGGTACCTATTTGCATGTTGTTAAAAGTAAGCTGAAGATTTTCCAAGTATTTTTGTTTGTTGTGAAAATGTATAACTTGCGTTTTTTCTGCATTTAGATGCAACGAGTTATCGCAAAACCAAGAATATAAAGATGAAAGAAAATTATTACACTGATGTAGGATTAGGATTTGTTAGATAGAATAATTGACGTATCATCCGCATATATAGTGAAATTTACCGCTCTGTCCACTTGTACGATGTCGTTAATGTAGACTACAAAGAGAATTGGTCCTATTATAGATCCTTGGGGAACACCCATGTTTGTAGTAACAAGACTAGATCTACAACTGGTCACACAATCCTCGATCCTTGTCTGCAGGCTCACATATTGTTGTCTATTGTTTAAAAATGACATAATCCACTTTAAAGAGTTTCCTGTAATACCTATCTGTTTTAGTTTTTTAAATAATATTTCATGGTTTACACAGTCAAAGGCCCTACTAAGATCACAAAATATTCCAATAGGACATTCTCCTGCATTCTCTTTGCTAGTATTTTGTAAGCAGTTAACAGGGTTATACCTCTATAGTTGTCACACTGGAGCTGGTCAGTGTCAGAGTGGAGCAATGGTTTATGTTAACCTTAAAAGTAACGCTTTATAAATTATGTTGTCGGAAAAAATGTAAGTAGATTTTTTGTTTTAACGTACATCATTAATAATAAAAGTAAACAACTCTTTTTTGTTTTAATGGATTTCATTGACAATAAAACTATTTTTCAAAAACGTCATTCAAACAATATTTAGCATCTTATATTGCTCCGAATGGCTTCACTATAGGAAGTTAATATTATAGAAAACTACATATTCATATATTCACTGTGTATGCACAATATTATTGTTGTCTGATATAACGAGATCGGCTTATAACGAGGTAATTAGTCTGCCATTTAAGTTCTCGTTATAGAGGGAGTCCAATGTAATTACATTTTAGGACACAAAGGTTAATACATTTTAAAAACAAAAAGGTTAACTTTAATCACTTCTTTATTTTATTTTTACAGAATGTTAAAAACCATTATTCGGTAAGTATAAACTAGTAATGTTCGTGATTAGAATTAGAACTTGTCACAATTTGATGAATTAATCCTAAAATTTAATCTAAATATTACATCTACTCGCCTTTTGAATCTTCTAGCGAGGGCGCATGCCATTTAAGCCTTTCTTCGTAAAATTTTATGACAACCTGCGGACACCTTACATTAGCCTGTTTAGCGGGTACAAGATCTGCTTCATCGGTTCCATTCCATTTGATTAGGAACATTAATTGTCCTAAAAATGTTAAAAAATATATATTAAAACTGAAAATAAGGTAATAATAAATAGAACAATTTGAAACTAAAAAACTCGACCAAATAAGAGAGAATAATAAAATTATAATTTTTTTCCTTCTTGATTTTAAGCAAATTGTATATTATCTTCATATCCCTGCCTTCTACGTGGTTAGGTCAGCAGTCCCTCTCCTTCAAAGACGACTCCTACTGGTGGATTAACTCTCTATTCTTATATTATGTCTCCTTCTTATCATCGAACTTGGTTGTGTGTATTATGCATCAACTTCGCTTTTTCCTCTGTTTAGGTCTCATTTCACCTAATTTACAAATATCTTAATTCCTTTTGTTTGTCTTGGGGTCTTTGATGTTTCAGGTGTAGTTTCTGCATTATATATCAAAATTGGTCTCGTAGTTGTCTTTTAGATTCTTAATTTGATATTTTTTTGTTTCGTCATATTGTAGGTATAATTTTGCTGCCAGTTTACATTCTGTCATTTTTGCTGCTATTATTATCCGTTCTCATACTTCCACTTCAAATCACCAAACATGATGACAATTCTCCTTGTTCTTCCTGGGCCATCTCCTCTAAGAAGGTTGGCAAGCATCACAAAAATACATATATCTTGGATGTTACTGCTCTAAATAATTCAATAAAGCCACATCTAACCACACACTCAAATTACTCAACCAAGAGATAGATTTTGTCATAGAAGTAACTTAATCAAGTTCTCTTAACGACACAATCTGGAAGAACAAACACCTAAAACAAGACATAAAAACAAGAATCTATAAAGCAGCAATTAAACTTATATTAACATACACGGCGGAGACAAGACCTGACACATCTAAAATGAGACGACTGCCTGAAACAACAGAGATGAAAATACTCCCAAGAATATCAGGGAGAAGTCTATTGGATAGGGAGAGAAGCGGAAACATAAAAAGAGCATGCAATATAGAAGACATAAATGGATGGGTGACAAAACGAAAACAGGAGTGGAACGAACACATCAGTAGAATAGCTGAGGATATGAATAGCACGAGATAAGTCACCAAATGGATGAAGAAGTATTGGCAGACAGAGAAAAAGATGATGCGACAATTTAAATAATTTAGGAGGCTAATATTGAAGAATAAACAGGCTTTAAAGTCTACATAGTAGAAGGAAGAAAAAAAAATGAATTTTTAAAATATTAAGGCTGTAGATTTATCAGTCACTTGGTGAATGACAATGTAGTGTGAAGATGATACAACTTCGCATTTAATAGAATATTCCAGGAGCCACATGTAGTAAAATATATTAAGATAGATCATCTGAGGTAGCTAGGGCATGTAAAGCGGATGGAACAAGATGACTCAGCTAAAAAAAACGATCCTTGATAGACCCATTGGTCAGAGAAAAATAAGAAAACCCAGAACAGGATTCCTTGATAACATCGATGAAGGCATGAGAAATATGGGAATATATTTTTAACCGAGGAAGGCGATGGATAGGGACGGGGAGACTGGAGGGAATTGTTGAGAAGGCTAGGACCAATAAAGGGTTTTAAAGCCAGAATGATAATGTATTACTTAACGTGTGTATATCCCTTCAAAACAAATTTTCTTTTGATACTCAAGAACCCATGTGGTCCACTTATTTGATCAGGCAGTGTTTATCTACAGTGTATAACTATTTGTTATGATCTCATTGATTTATTTTGCTGTAATAGGACATAATAGACTTTTTTTCTATTCATATCCAGATTAGGGATGTGTAGTTCACCATCGAAATAGTTCTAATGAACGATTCTTTCAACTGAACTAATTTAATTAGTTCATTAATTTTCATAGAACTAGTTTACTGCGAACGATTTGCATTATAAATTATGTTTCAACTTCTAAAGAAGAAAATAATGAATGAATAAATTAGAACATATATTTATTATTTTGTGAATGGATGGACTAACTAGTTTAAAAAAAAATGCTGATTAGCCTCAGATAACAGATTCATAATTCTTATGAATGTGACAATAACATTAACGGCCGGTTTCCGAAACGTTATTCAAATCTCCAATCATGTAATCAAGTGTCAAATTTGATCAAGTGTTAACAAGCGACAGGTTTCCGAAACGAAAATTATGGTAAAATTAGGTGATCACCGATTATAGATTATTTGACATACGATTTTACATGGAAACTGTAGAATCGATTATAATCGTTTATTATTTCTGTACGAATTGTTCTTTATCTTGCTCTAAATTAAGAAAGTAATGTTGCTGTTTCACTCTACCGTCATTTCTGTTTATGTGTAATCTGCATTCTGAAAATCAACAAACAAACATAACCTAACTATTAATTTTGTGTCGTTTGTCAATGTTTGCCAATTTGTCATTTATCAACATCATCATATTTAATATTAAATATTAGTAAATTGTTTACATTTGTAACAATATTTTTGAGTTCTTTCTACTTAAGAGCTTTTTATAAAACACCTTAGGTTTATGTATTTACAACGTAACCAAAGATTTTATTTTATTTACTTACAACCATTGATACATAACCAAAGATTATAAGATTAATCGTCCAAAAATCTCAGATTACCTGACAAGCTAGTATGACAGTTGTTTTAACATAGATAAAACGATAATTAGCGTTTCGGAAACCCAAAATACTTCTGACAGGCTGTTAATCAAGGATTATTTGTTTGTTAGATTAGTTAATGTGTGTTATGTGATTGAAGTTTGATCGATGTTTCTGCAACTCAAAATGCATTTAATCGACTGTTAACAGTAGATTACCTAATTTTGATAATGATCAGCCTTTCGGAAACCGGCTGTAAGTCTTATCTTAATGTCATAATGGTTCGGATCTTATGCCCATATATTGGCTTGGATGTTGCCATGCTGTGTTGTTTCTTGTATTGTAATTTTGAAATAAAAATTTTAGTTGTAGTTAAAATGATTGAGGCATTTACATAAAATATAATTTTATGTTAAAAGTGAGAATGAAAATGTGTTATTTAATGTTCCTAGAAAATTCACTGATTTTTTTGTAACGGTTCTTTTAGAAATAACCTAATTATAAATACTTATGAGTTTAAATATATGTAAATATAAAAATAAATCATACTTGAACCATATTTAAAACGGTTAATAAAAAACAAATCTTAATAATTTTTTACAAATAAAAACTAACTAATCATATAATTTAAACCATTTAAACCTAAACATACGATCGAAAGAAATAGTTCCGAACTACTTGTACGGTGGTGAACTAAGTGAGCTAGTGAAAGACTGAAAGAAAACGGGCGGCTGGCGCCGAGCTTGTGTGATGATTGAGACGAGACATCTGGCAACCAGTTCTGTTAGGGTTGGATTTCGATGTCGGTCCTAGAAATAGTTCTTTCGCGAACTAGTTCACTGAACTACTTCATTTTTGTGAAATAGTTCTGTTGAACTAGTTCGTCTAAAAGAACTAATAAGCACACCTCTAATCCAGATCACATTCTTTTCTTTTCTGTTTTTAACATGTCTCTCTTGTATTGGTAAACTTTGCACAGGACCCTTTTGGATATTATCCAACATAGCTTTGTTTTGCCATATGTTCTAACCATACAAAATTTAAATCATGAAGGAATTGGAAATATGCGAATATGACAGAAATTAAAAAAATTGTTGACTACAATGAGCCATAGTCCCTGCATCTTTACAAAATAGTCATTTGATATAATAATACAAAATAATAAAAAGTATTACCCGGACTATCAGTAGCACCGATTATCTTTTCTGGTTCTAATCCTCTGTCAAATCCTAATGATTTTTTGTCGTCAGTTTTTTTCTTCACTGATCTTTGTTCTGTTAGAGTGCTCGGTCTGCGTTTTCTCTCATTTTCTTTATCTTTCTTAGCCTTCTCCTTTTCAAAAGCATCAATGAGTCCAGGACAATCTAAATTACCTTCTGGTTCCCAGGTGTTGTCTTTTTCTTCATACCCAATCCACTTTAAGAAATACTCTTTGATGCCATGATCATTAATACGACTATCAAGAATTTTTTCAACAACATATTCTTCAGGAGCTGGAGGTTCTTCTTCAGGAACAGGACTGTTTCTTTTACTCATGTTTACCTAAAAAATTGCACACTTTATTATTTAACAAATACTTTATTATCTGAATTTCATCATAAAGAATAGCAGTTTGTTAAAGGATTTATTTATTGTAAATATTCAATTAAGAAGTCTTTTTCTTAGTTAAAATTTTTTACCTAGTGCAAGCGTAATAACTGCATTTTCAAAAATGCACATTTGTAGAAGATGCAGCTTTTATGCTCGACTTTCTGAATTTTGCAATGATCGATTATTTTTAATTTGAAATATTAACACATGGGAGCCCCCGATTAATGTTTTGTATTATTCAGCAAACATAAGTTTTATTAGGAGTTTGTGAAGTAAATCTGGAGTAAATGTGAATTTATTCTGTAAGTACTGAATATTTACTTTATTAACTATTTGTGTGTTTAACATACCTGCACGTAAAAATGTTAGTATTTTATGACATCATTTTGAGAAAAACATTAACAGTGAGAAGGCTGTATGCAATATTTGCAAAAAAAACTTAGTTATAAATCAACTACAGCAAATTTGAAAAGCCATTTAATTAAAGTATTTCAGTATTTTTTCTTTGGTTCAAGAAAGCATGTTTGTTTGTGTACTCACTTATTTGAAACTACTGTTAAACAATCAACTAGTTGAATAATTTAATTAGTTTTTCAACTATGACTAACTATGGTCTGTTTTTTAACCAGGAGGAGTAATTCAAATTTTCCGCGCCATAATGCTTGTTTGTAATTGGTCCAAGCGCAGGCAAGTTTTACTCCACTAAATTATGACATATTGACACTAATGACATTTGTGAAATTTTAAAATTCAAAATTTATAACGACAATTTTTCTGCTTTATTCCTTACATCTTTAGATTTTTCGTTTTTTCGTTTCTTTTCAGAACTATTTAGCGACCTATTAGTGTTATTAAGATAACAATATGGACTCAATGCCAAGTACTAGTGGTAATTAATCTTCTCCACCTTAAAAACGCCAAGTAGATTTGAGAAACGATGAGAAACAATGTAATTGATGGATTCGACCGTTACTTGATGGAAATTCATTTTATGTAACAATAAAACACTGAAAACTTTGTTTTCAAACTTCCACAAAATTTATTTTAAATATTATCACTACAGCTGTTTCGGCTGATTGCCTTTCTCAAGTGATCTATTTTGGCTTGGGTTTACAAATTTATAGTCTCTAATGAAATAGGTTGAGGAGGGGAGAACTGTTTGTCTCAAGTTGGTCATTCAGAATTATATCTGTGTTTTTTAATTTGTTGATTTCCATAGATTCTAACAAAGATAGCTTAAGGCCTTTATTTTGAATGTGAAGAATTTTAAATTTGTCATTAAAAGAATGATTATGATCTAGAAGGTGAAGTGCGTATGTCGAATCTGTTTTTCTATTCTTGAAAGCCCTTTTATGTTCTGCTATTCGTTTATCAAAGTTTCTACCAGTTTGACCGATGTAAGTTTTTGGGCAAACATCCCGTATTCAAACAGTTCTTATATTGGTGGAGATACGTAGACGACGTACTGGTATGTTTCACAGGAACTAACAGGAAACTCGACCAATTTTTATCATATATTAATTCAGTTCATAGTCATATTCAATTTACAATAGAAACAGAACAAAATCAATCCATAAACTTTTTAGATTTAAAAATTAGCAGACTTCAAAACAAACATGACTTCTCCATATTTCATAAACCTACCCATACTGACACAACTATACACAATTCGTCATCCCATCCAACACAACATAAACTGGCAGCTTATCATAGTATGTTACATAGATTAACAGAAATTCCGATGTCAAAAGACAACTTTGAGACAGAATTAAATATAATTAAACAAATAGCAGTAAACAACGGATACAACGAACAAACAATTAATAAAATGTTAAATCAAAAACTACACAAGAAAGCCCTGAAATTAGTATTTCCACCACCAGAGAAAAAACCCAGTACCTTCTGCTCGATTACATATACAGGCAAAATAACAACAAAAATTGCCAAACACATAAAAAAGAAAGGAATAACACCAGCGTTCCGAACAAATAACAACCTAGGCAAATATATTAAAAATAACAAGAGCCAAAATAAAAAACACTTAAATAGTGGTGTATACAAACTCCAATGTGGCGACTGCCCAAAAACTTACATCGGTCAAACTGGTAGAAACTTTGATAAACGAATAGCAGAACATAAAAGGGCTTTCAAGAATAGAAAAACAGATTCGACATACGCACTTCACCTTCTAGATCATAATCATTCTTTTAATGACAAATTTAAAATTCTTCACATTCAAAATAAAGGCCTTAAGCTATCTTTGTTAGAATCTATGGAAATCAACAAATTAAAAAACACAGATATAATTCTGAATGACCAACTTGAGACAAACAGTTCTCCCCTCCTCAACCTATTTCATTAGAGACTATAAATTTGTAAACCCAAGCCAAAATAGATCACTTAAGAAAGGCAATCAGCCGAAACAGCTGTAGTGATAATATTTAAAATAAATTTTGTGGAAGTTTGAAAACAAAGTTTTCAGTGTTTTATTGTTACAGAAACAATGTACTATAAACATGTTCAAACATCATCATCATTGGCTTTTACAACTCTTCGTGAGTTTTTGTCGCGTTTACTATTGCCTTCCATTGATTCCGATTCTGTGCTATTATTTCCCATGGCCTTACTTCCATCTCCTCCAGGTCTTCCCTGACTGCGTCTTTCCACCTTTTTCTAGGCCTTCCTGTCGGATCTTTTACCATCTGGTCTTTCCCAAAACACATTGCTAATCAGTCTGTCGTCATCTTAATCTATTGGCTTTTATGTATCTTACAATGTTTCCTTTCCTGAAGAGAGTCTCTATTTAATCTTTGTAAATGGGTATATTTATTTAAAAAACCCTTAAAAGGGCCACATCAATAGAACAAACGTTTTCGGACTACACAGTCCATCATCAGGTTATTAAAATCGAAAATGCCTAAAAATAAGTATAAACCATTTAGTTAAAACAAACGAGATTTTGAAATTTTGACTAAGGTTGAAAAGCAAAAGATGGTTATACTTACTAGGTCATAATGCCTGAGCCACCAAAATATTAGGGTAAAAACCCTTTAAATTACATTTAGTTATGAAATGTTGTACATTGTGTTATAAAATAACTGTGATGTTATATATTAAATTAAATTTGACCAAAGGTAACACATGGCTCAAATGGGTTCCAGAGCCGGGCGAGAGACAACCTCTGCACTCGGAGAACAACGTGGAACTGATTGACAAGATACTTTTGAAGGATGAAGATAACAGAATGTCAATGCAACAAAAACTATAAAAGTTGTACATAGTATTACTACAGCCAAAAGATTCAACAAGTTTTGATGATTTTAAAAATAACAACAATCTAGGTGTTGGGATTTAAAAACTTTTTATTTATTAATTTAGGGTATAAAAGATGTCAAATCAATGATGGTTTTATAGTCATGATTAATATAATGACCTGTGCCTTAGGCAACTTATGTTGCTTTTCGTCGTATGGAATGTGGTCTAAAGTGTATTTAATTTTTGGGTTAGCTTGTATTTGTGAAATTTATCCTTTTATGTTTAACACATCTAGGACAAGGTAAAAATTAAATAACAAATATTTGAAGCTAATATCAGACCTCATGTTTAAATGACTTTATTTAGGAATGCTCCTATGGTGAAGAATTAATAAAATTAAGTTTAGTAAGATGGAAATCTACAGGCTGAAGAAATTGAAGTAGTAACATATGTGATTGAATTTAAAATCGAAGAGACTGGGTTCCTCAGAGACTGATGAGAATGAAAGTAAAAGAAATGAAAGGAGGGGGGGGGGTTGAAGGAGAAAAGGAGTTGATCAACAATTAGAGATAATAGGGGTCCTTTATACTTAAAGTATCTAGCACCCTGAACAAAATCTATTTAGGTGGTATTAAATTCAGTTTGTAGAAACCTGAAATTTGTTGTATAAGTGTGCTACTAAGTTGTTGACCGAAAGAAGGTGGACAAAGGTAGATTAGGATTCTATGTAATATGGTAGATTATGAATTTTAATAAATTGTTAGATAATGTTTAAGTGATTACTAAATTAAAACTATTGGATACATGTTTAATATATGAATTGACCAAGAAATAATGAAAGAGAACAAAATTAACAGGAAAACGATGTAGAAGTGAAGAGTGAAGTGAGTGAAGAGATAAGATAGTGAAATGTTGGTATGGTGGATGTGGATGGTTCTGAAGTTAAAATTGGGGTCAGAAATTTGTGAGAGGAAGGTGTGACGATATTGTATAAAAAGGGGTGTTTGAAGAACCACAAGATTATGTAGGAATAAGGTGTTGACGTTTGTATAGGAAAATAAGGCAAAGAAAATAGGACAGTATTGTGAAGTGTGGACTATGAAAAAAGTTGACGATGTAAAGGTTGAAAGTCACGGTTGAAAGATACATGGCGATTAACACAATTGGGGCTTTTTTGTTTTTCTTTGACTATTTCCAAGTCTTCATATAGGTCTAATTTTAGAAAATTTTTTTGGGGAATATTATGTAACAAAGAGACGTCTTCTGGGATGTTGAGGGTATGTTTATGTTGTGCAAGATGTTGAGAGAAGGTGGAAGTGTTCTCTTTTTTAGTGTGTTCTAAGGAACGAGAAGTTAGTGATCTACAGGTTCTACCTATATATGTAGCATCACAATCAGAGCACTGTAATTTATAAACGCCACTACGATCCATGTAGTTGATGGGATCTTTTGTATTAGTTAAGCATTGTCCTAGATTGTTCGGGACTTTGAAAGAAATGTGGGTATTCTCAACAGATCTTTTTAGGATGTATCTAAGATCTCCAGAAAGACGTTCTTGAAGGTAAGGCAAAGAAAAATACTGAGTTTTGATGGTCAAGTCTCTGGGAAACGCAGTCTCTCTCAATAGTTTGAGTTGTCTCTTATTTATAAGTTTGTTAATGATGTTGGGGTCATATCCATTATTGAATGCTATTTGT